AGTCATTTAAATAATCAACACCATCTATCAATGAAACGAGTATGAAGTGAAATACCATTTTATTACATTAATTTGCACTTTTGTGAACTGTACATTTTATGTCATTGGCTTGCATTTTCTACTCATTATATTGCACTTTAGACATGCAGGTGTGCACTTTATATGTTTTTATTCAAAATGATTTAAAATAAATATACAAGGGTGTTGATTAACAATTATCATGTGCAAATTAAATATATAGAAAAAAACACTATTATATCATTCTTTCTAAACTTCTATATTAACATTTTTTACAAAATAAAATGCACTGTAATAATGTGCATTATTATATATACAAAAGTGCACTATTATATTTTCCCTTATAAAATTTTACATAACCTCTTTTTCCAGAATGAAATGCACTTTCTTCCAAATGCATCACAATTGTTGTTGGGACAACGTATAAATATCTTCCATGCCACTTGAATGATTCATCTTGCTAAGTTCCTTTCTTGTTGAATCCATTACGGTACAATCATAATCATGACAAACTGCAATCATGTGTGAGTGTTATAAAAAATATTGAACATAATAGTAGAATGAAAATGCATTAAATAACCCATGTAAGTGCACTTGTGGTGAGTTAAATAAGAATATCATAGCACACACAATCTAAAAAACATTACAAAAATGAAAGCAAACATTTGAGGAAAATATGTGTGTAATCATATCTTTTTTCAAAATAGGACTGCATAAGTGCATCATATGAGCATGAGAGTGCATAAAAAATTGTGAGATAAAATTGTAATAAACAACAGTAACTCATACGTAGTAATTACAATAATTCATAGTTTCAATAAACAGAATCAATGTACGATCAACAAATATAATAAAAAATAAACAATAAGTGATGATTTATAAAATAAGAGAAGCAACAAACAAACAAATACTACTAGTAATAATAATTACTATCACTAATAATATGATTCATGATCACTACTTCATGTATATTAAAAATATATGGATTAATATTATTTACACGTGAAAAGTTAAAATTAGAAAATAAAGTTAATGCAAGACAATTACTGCAATCCATAAGTAGAAGATGAAGTTGTTGAGAAACGTACCCTCTCAGTGTAATTACCTAGATTTAATAAATTAATGAAGATAATGGAGGACTGTGTCATCAATATGGATTGAAGAGGGTGAATATGACACTACGGTTGAAGTTCAAGAAGAATGGAAAATTGATCATAGTGGGTTAATGGCGAGGATAAACAAGGTGAAGAATAATAAACTATGTCAATAATTACGTAGATTGTGCAAATTTGTAGGAGGATATTAAGGAAAGAATCAACGTGCTTTGGATGGTAAGGTGATTAAATGTCTTATTTACCCTTAATGAAGAGGAGTCACACGTTTAAAATAAAAGATGATCTAATGGTCCCTATTTGTTCTCATTTCTCTCCTAAGATCAAATTCTCACATGATCCTAAATCTATATACATATTTACCATATATATTTATACTTTATCTTTACTGTTTTATATATATTTTTTAAATTTATCCCAATGTTTAACCTTTTTTAGAGTTGAGGGGGTTAATTGAACATTTTGGATATGTTCAAAGACTTATTTGAGCTTTTACTTTCCACTTTAGATGCACAAGTGACAACCAGACGGGTGACATGGCGGGCGATCGGGTGTTTACCGGTAAAAAAATGAAATTTGAACCATTTTTATCGGTTGAAGGTGCAAATTGGACCATTCTTAGTTCATGAACTGAATTGCGCAAACATGACACGTACAATTGTACAAGGTTCTATTTCAAATGTTATCGGTATACTTCATGCCTCTTATATCTATTATCGTCCCGATAGCTAGAGAGCATGTTCTCCGTACATATGAAGTAGTGGAAACTTATAGAAAGGAGGCATTGTCCCAAGTGATTATATTGTAGTGTGAAGAAAATATAAAATATGAAGTACTCCGTACTATTTAGATTCTATTCAGCTATACCTTTTTTACAATTCGCCTTTTCTCATATTGTGGTTTTGACTATTTTGTTTGATGCACCGATGCTAATCGAGTGAATGCCCTTATGTATATGCACATTGATGGATTATATTGCCATATACCCCGGGGGTATCAACATTTATAATAAATGATGATCTCCAGAATCTACTAAGGCAACTCCGGCCGAGACCGAGCTTGAAATTAGTTCTCAGATTATCGAGATAAATTCAAAAGTGCAGCAGAGGTCAAGGTCAATCCTCATCGAGGTTGGCGACATTTCTGGCACTACGGCCGAGCTTCAAGCCAACTACCGCATTGTGAGTTCAAAGATCAATAAAGGCATTAACTGTTCCACATTATGAGCCGAGGTCTCTTAAGTATTGGCTAACGCACTGCATCTGAGCTTAACCTCTACAACCGAGCATGGGACCTCAGATAGAGATTGTGGACTTAGACATTTCAGCACTCGGATTCCACAAACATTGAGGATTACGACACCATGTAACAACTTTCCTAGGGTTGACATCACTCATGTGGTTACACAATGAAGATTCTAGACTTAAACGTGTGGCTTATCTACACGTTCTAGTAGACAAAGCACAAAAGCCGGTACGACAATACCAATTAGCTATATTGATTATTCTCCTACCAATCAACCTTACACGTGGCGCTTCCCTACTGGATTAGTTATTTTACTTGTTGCCCAAATATTTCCATTTTACACTATAAATATCATCATCCAACTTGTGGAAAGGGATCACATTTCTAATTCACAAAAATACTGTTACTCTGCCAAATTCTTACTCGATCTATACTTGGCATCTTTCGACTCTCACTCGATTTCTGTCTACCCTCGGGTCAGCAAGTCATCATACATATTTTTTGGCCTCTTAGTATAAATTTAACCTTTTTTACCCAAAAATAGAAATTTTGAACATTCAAATTAGGGGTAAACCATTTAAGACCTCATCCAATTATAGAACAAGTTGAATTCTATTCGATCATAACCGAATTTTCAAGCTAAATAAAAGGTAAGAAAAGAAAAAGGGAGCCAAAATTGACACTTCTGAGTTCCGAGGTCTATTTTGAAAGAGCCAAAAACTACACTAAAAACTAATTGGTTCCAATTCTAGATCTGATGGATAACTTCATTTCAGTTATATTATTGTCCTATTTGTGATCGTGTCCTTGCCTACGCGAGCAAATGTAAGTGCACTAATAAATTTTTCATTCAAGTCCAATAACAAAATACTAGAATAACAAATGATATATAATGTTGTGGCGATTAACAAACCAAATAGACTTTCAAAAAAATAACAGACCAACCATTTTTTTTAACTATTCGAGCTTGTCTTTGAGCCAAAGTAACCGAACGCAATGAGCTTGCACTAGAATATGAGTCTAGTTTAGAGTTCAAATATTTTTTAAGCAAAGATAAAACATATTTAGTAGGGGTGGGCATTTCGGTTTTCGGTTCGGTTTTCTTCGGTTTCGGTTCGGTTTCGGTTTAATCGGTTTGATAGAAAATGTACCAAATACAAACCGATTAAGTTTCGGTTTGGTTTCGGTTTGGTATGGTTCGGTTCGGTTTGGAGTTCGGTTTACCAAAGTATTAAGGTTTGGATTGAAAAAAAAACTCAAAATAATGAACCAAGAAGCGATAGTAATGAACCAAATATAATGTTAGATATAAATTTGCAAACAGTAACAAAACACATATGAATTAAAAATATATAAGCATGACACATTTGTAAGCAACAACAACAACAAAAATGAATCAAATTATATATAAAGCCGAAACAAAAACAAAACCGGTGCTTGTAAGTAATGAACCAAGTATATAGTAGTAGTAGATAATAAATTATAGTTAAATACTATCTATTTAAATCACTATAATTGTTATAGTTGTGAATGTAACTCTGGTAATAAACTCTAGTCCTAGATACTAAAATTAAAGAATTAAAGCTTCAAAAAGATTAACATCAATCAAATTAATGAGAGAAATCTTATATTTTGGTTTGGTTTAGTTTGGTGTAAGTTAGTTTTGATTTGTTATTTTAAAAAAATAAGAAATTATTTCATTTTTAGATTAGTTCGGTTTTATTCGGTTTTATTCGGTTTTATGGATTCGGTTCGGTTTGGTTCGGTTTAATACGGGTTGGGAGGAATACTACCAAACTCAAACCAAATTACAAATGGTTCGGTTTCGGTTCGGTTTAATTCGGTTTGGTACGGTTCGGTTCGGTCAAACCGAACTCTTATGCCCACCCCTGATATTTAGTTTCATTCGAGCTCTAGCCTATCAAATACCTCTAATTATAAGGATAAATTATACATGTGTGTACCTTAAAATTTTATATTCCTATTTTTAAAATTGAATTTGGCAATTAATGAGATCCTGAAAGGGGCGAATTACCAGAAAGCTTATCAAAGTCGAACCTTGCATTATCTAATGTTGATCGAGTTCAGTCCTAAATGAAAGCCTTTTTTATTCTTTGATCGCTAGACTTTTGGGCGATACCCCATCTCTTAAGAACAGCCTAAAGTGAGAGGCCTTAGGGCAGATTTTGCTCAAGATAGAACAATAGAATAATTAAGAACTTATCAAATAGTTTGACCACGAGCTTATTTAACGAGTTAAAAGATCACTAGAAACAAATACCGAACATCTATGGAATCAAACTCAACACACGAGCCACATCTATAAATCATTGAAGCTTGTTGAGTTTCAAACTCGAACATGAACATCATTATTACCGAATTGAGCCGTGCAAAACCTCAAGATATTCGAACTCAACCGGTTAGGACCCCTGTGTAACTCTTTTCAATTTTACCCTCTTAATAATAAAAGCCCAAACGGAAGGTAAGTTTCGTAAAAGTTGTGCAAATTGTAAATTGTGGGAGTAATTAGTAAAAAGAACAGGATTACAATATCCCATTCTGCAAATGACATTAGCATCTGTGTTTTCTACAAGAATATAAACAATAATATATACACATGCCCATGTCAATTTCTAATCAAACCTTGATGCTCCAAAAGATACAAATCAGAGTGAAATCCATATTTATTCATCACTAATTCACGAGTTCACCTGGACAGAATCTGACGGAGTAAGTACTTAAAACATGGTACATAAACATCTCCTTATTGAAAAATGTTGTTAAAGGGCTGGAACACTAACGAGAGCAATTAATGGAGGAAGAATGTAAAAATGAAATCTAGGCCAGCTACCGTGCCTTGAAACTAAAATTGCTGTCTGAAGCACCGGGGTCGGGGGGTATATGTACAGACAAATATACACTGGTTTGCTCAACATAATAAGTTAAAAGGGAACCTATCTAGAAACAACCATCACATTCATGGTTATGGAGTTATTTTCTTCTAATGACTATTGGTTCTTCATGACAACCTTAACACTGCTATAGAAGCGCTTTAGGTCCTTTATTGCCCTTTCCTCTATCTGAATTGAATGGATAGATGAAGGTGTCTCAACTTCTGGTTTGAACCAGCGGTTCAGACCACTGCTGCTGGAGTCCGACGGCGAGCCCTGTCCGCCACTCGGTGTAACGGAGAATCCTGCAGTTTTCACCTTTGGGCTTTGAGATAGGCCCTTGTGGTTGTGGTGCCTCCTTCCCTGCAAGTAAGCAATAGATAAAAGAGCACCCAATTCAGTTCTGGACAACTGGTCCCCCGGTCATGGAGAGGGTGGAACCATAAGTCCATAGCAGTAACCACTTATATCCAGTCTAGTTCTTTCAGATATTTTGTATTAAGACTTCAGATTTCATCCTAGACAGTCAACCTAATAGGAAAACTAATTCAAGACCTTATATGTTGGTTTGTATAGACACACTTCACGGGTATGGGATAACCTAAAATACCTCAACAAGATGACGGTTCGTTGGAGCAAACCAACTTGATCCATGTTGGTTTTATATTTATACTAGGGCAGTGTGAGATGCTTAACACTTGAGTCGGTTCCGGAACGACTCTAGGGTCAGTTACTGACTGGTTTATTAACTTACTTAAAAATGCAACTGATCCAGTGCTATTCTTTAGGAACCGCGTTTAGAACAATTCCCGGTTCAGATCAGTCACCGTTTTTATGGTTTCGTCTCCTCACAATTAACCAGATGGTCCCGGGAATGGGTCCACCCTTAACCAGAAGAAAAAATGCAGTCACTGATTAATGTCATATGGCTGGAAGAAAACGTTTGCTTACCTGCTGCTGAGATTGAATGTCCTTAAGAGAGGGACGTGAAAGAGATGAGGTCCCAGCAGAGGTGGCGGCGGCAGCCCAGGGAGGAGTGCTGTTTCTTTCTGCATCAGGTGACACCACCTGTGTTGTTGTTCGTGGATAAGTATCAACAGGTACTGAAGCAGATGATAAAAATGCACTTAATTGTATCCTCCCACCACTATTGATGCCATCAGGCGATTCTGCCAACTGCCACCCTTGGCCGCTGCTCTTCTTATTATTAACATGTTTTGTTTCCTTTACTTTGTTCTGTTCATTCTGTATCTCACGAAGAGATGTAGACGACCCTTTACCCATCTTTGCACCTCCCCAAGCTGGGACTTCAACTTTTGGAGATACTGGTGGAGGCGGTGGAACCTCCTCAAATTTTGGAAGTTTATCAAGACCGCCGCTCAAGAACAGAGAGAGTCCACCTTTTCTATTCTTCTTCTTATTCAGCGTAGGTGATGATTTTGTGCTTTTCGGGGAGCAACCAAGGCCTTCCTTTTTTTTAGAGGAAGGAGATTCATTTGAATCCTGTTTCAATGCAGCTTCCGCCTCCAAATGCTTGACCTCCTAACAGATGCACATAAAATATATCAATACAATTGCTATGTTAATAATGGAAGGGATAGTGATCCATCAGAATACTCAACATAAAGTTCAAAGACATTCAAGACATGTAGCACCATATAAGCTTTCTGTATACATAGGGTTTGATTTAAATAACCTAATACGAAATTACTATCTTGGCTAAGATTAAGCAGAAAAATATTACTCCTTTCCCTAATAAAACTTCCATAGTTCAAATGGCACGGGGATTAAGATAGTGGGTATTGTGTGGTGGAGAATTGTGAGTAGGAGAGAGAAATGTGTAAGAAATTATGTGAACCACAAATTCTCTACCAAAAGGGGAAAGTGGAAGTTTAATTGGGACGGACGAAAAAGGAAATTTGGAAGATAATTCAGGGACGGAGGGACAATGATATAAGTGTCTCTACCTTACCATAACTAATAAAGAAGTGACAAAACAGTCCCTGATTAAAAGCATTCTCTTACAGTGCTTTTGGATTTTCAAACGTCTTTGATCGTCAATAGGAAGGCATCTTCAATTTTTTAGCATCATTCCCTTACAAGTTATAAACTGCTTGTCTTTGAGTTATTTCATTTAACATCAAATCAAAATTTGAAAGTGCAGTAAACACTGTCAATGGCTAAAAGCATGTGCATATCAGCATATGTAGGAAAGAGAAGTAACAGGCTGCGTATGCACTTTTATTAAAAGATCAGACAGGTTGTACCAACATCAATTCTCACTAAAAAAAACTGACCTTGTAATCGGTTGGTGAGATGCTAAAGACCGTGCAACCCTTTTCAAGACTTAATGGTGGTGGTTCAGCAATGGTTTCACAGCCACTATCCTTGACCTCCAACTGGGAAGGGTTTTGTTTGTTTTTTCTCCGCTGCCTTTTGGATGTCTCCAGCTCTTTAGAAGTAGTAGTTGGTTTTCCATTGACAGAAATGGTTACAGGAACGCCAAGCTCAGAAAGTGAGTGCTCCAAAGCTAACTTTGTTTGTAGCTTAGCGAGTTGCTGGGCATCAAGGGCCTTCCCCTTGGACTGCTTCTCTTCAAGCATCTCAATCTGTTGCAGCTTTTTCCTCACAGCTCGGACCTGTTTTGAAATGACCTCCTTGTCCACACAGGACTGCATAAAGTTGTCTAAAAGTCTACCTCCCTGTCCTCTAGAAATTGCTGCCTTCTTCTTACTGCATTCACGTGCTCTAAGTGACTCATCATCACTGGTCTCTTCTTCACTGTTTAAAATGGCCGGAAAGGGTGCTGTGGGGGTTGGAAACCGACGGGAACTCCACGGTTCAGATGATTTCAAGTCCAATAACTTTTCCAGCCTGACAAGGATATCCAATGAAGTATTGGCGATTGCTTGTCCAGAGACAGTAAGGATGTAATCAAGGTTGCGAATAGCAATATCCTGCAAACATATTTTTCCACAGCATCTAGTATAAGAACTGTCCATAATAATAATATCATAAACACATATCTGTGTGTGTGGTAATTCTAAATCTCATTCAGGAGACAATAAATGGCTGCAAATATGCCACTCATTGTCTGTCATATAAATATGGCTGTAAATGTGTCATTTAATAAACATGCATCATCCAGCAACAAGGATTGTTTTCTCTAACTACACATGTTTGTAAAAAAATTAGCCTATCGAAATGATGCCGTGTAGTTAACAGTAGTCTGTAATAACAATACAACTCTAAAGTGAGCTATTCACTAATTTCAATATCTTATTATCTTCTCGAAGTGGTTCATTTCCTTATTCATGTTGAAGCTGAATCTTGAAGGTGTTCAAGGTTTGGGAGCTTGTGGGAGGGCCACAAAATTAAAGAACACGGAAGGTGCTTTTTGGTGTAAGATCCTGGCATAGCTGTAAGCAATAACTTTGAGCCGATGAGAACATATGTTTGATTACTTCCTAAAGTTTCAGGTTCACAATGATTCCCTTCTCCAAACCCGCAAATCAATTGAATAACATCCTTCTATTTTATGCCCTGGTATACAGCTAGACGCTCAGGTTCCCAGAATAAAAAATGTATTGAAAATGATAAGAACAAAAGTATACCCATGGGTCTCAATCCCACTTTATTTGTCTTGCATTCTTTTTATGTTGTCCCAAAATAATATCCAATCGCCTAATCTTAACACCACTAATTTTTGGCTTCTTTCCATTTATGATAAATGAATGTATTGCTTTTAACTTCTCAGGTTAGTCCAAATTATCTATTCAAAGCGTAGACATGAAAAGAGCATTACGTTTTCAATGTTCCCTTAAACCATAGAATCCGACTACAACCAAAGGATTAGAAAAAGCACTTTTCAGCTTTTAACTTAAGAAAAGCTGAAATTAGTGTTTTCAACTCCCTACTTCTGCTTAAAAAATGCACTTTAAAGCTAAAAGTTGGAAGCTGGTATATACCTGCTTCTAACTGCTTCTCGGTTAAAGTTATTATAATGTTAAAGTTATTTTGTTCAACCCAAAATACCCTTTCATCTCTCTCGTCTTCCCCACCCCCTCATCTACATAGTAACCTCTGTTCCTTTATTCCAAAACATGGCAGTTTTCTTCACCCATGAGAGCTTGACATGAGGCTTCACAGGAAGTGCCTTTGCAGACATCTCCAATTAATAGCAGGTAGAGCTTATGAACATGGCTACATGAGCCGCCGGAAAGAACGTCAAATGGATTGGCCACCTGAAACTTGTTCGAAATATGCTGAAGCTTTCTGCTGGTACCTATTAGCCTGTATAATGTGTGTGTGTGTGTTGTGGTAGGTGGCGATTGCAAGGAGATGGGCGTCGATTTCATTAATCACTTGCCGGCGTGCCACAACTTCAAGATTTGATGGAGATACGTGAATTCATCGTTTAATTTGTAGAGGGCACATTTGTACTTTATCAAATTATTACATCAAAAATCACTTTTTTATCAAACACCAACTTTTATTTTTTCAACTCAATCACTTCTATTCTAAAACACTACCAACTTTTACTAATAAGCACTTTCTTTAAAATCACTTCAAAAAAAGCGTTTTTTTTAAGTTGAAGCAATGCAAACACTGCACAAACCTCATATTTTGTGACCACGTGAGTAATCAACAGTGTTTCCAAATGTCAATTACCTCACAATAGTTCCTCAAATCATCTGCCCCTAAGGAGTCAGAAATTTCCAGCAATTGGATGGCTGTCCGTGGCTCCACCAGATAATCTGCTGCCAATTTCTCACAGAGACTCTTTAAGCTTGGCACACTCTTAGTTTCTTGATCCTCCTTTTTCACAGGAGACCAGACTTCATCTGTCTCGATATCATCATCAAACATAAAACCTTCATCAAGCTCATATGTTTCACACTTTATCTGTGGCTTGAGCTTTTGAGGATTATTCATACTGGCATGAGGCAGATAAGCAGGTTGGTACAGAGAACTTATAATTAATAAATGGGTCTCTCCAACAGATACAGAAGTAGCTTTTTTCACCCCATGCAACCGGGTCAATGAAGGAGGTCTATCTTTTTCTTCCTTTGCATCCCACAAGTAAACATCACCTGTAACAGTGACTGCAGCAATCCAGTACTTCCCAGCAGAGATACTGACAAGGTCTCTCCCACATAGTGAATATAACTGCATGAAAGTTTACAGATGAGAAAAAAAGATTCAGCATTTCCATGAAGACATTTATATTTATATCTAATAGAATAAACCAAAAAACCTGCAGACACTTAAGATCATGATCTGATGACACCCAATAAAACAAAGCTCCATCATCTGCCAGTGCCACACTATGCTTTGTCCCAGCAGCAATGGCCACAACATGTTTACGGTGAAACTTCATAGGAGTGCTCCCAACTTTTTTTGCGTTTCTGGCAATAATAACACGTTTGGGAGTAACCAAACGGTGGCCCCAAGTAAAAACCTGTCATTCATGATATACGTATATAACTTCACTGATAGTGGAGAGATTGTAGCAAAATAAGTAAATAAATTGTGTTATGGCATACCTCCCCATCTGATCCCAATACAATGGTGTGATACTTAGCTGCAGCAACCTGAGCGAAAGTTTTTCCCTTCAAATATTCAACAACTCTTGGAGCATAGTTAGAAGCTGAGTTGGAGGTACCATAACCAAGCTGACCCTCTTTATTACAGCCCCAAGTATAAACTTCACCAATGTCGGTGACAGCAGCAGTATGTTTGTTTGCAGCAGCTACCGCAACTACTCTCGACTTTAGAGAACTGACTCTCCGAGGTGTTGGTTGAGTATCAACAGAAGTATACCCAAGTTGACCCTCTGCAAAATATTAGCAAAAGGATGTAATTCTACTACTACTACTACAGAACAACTGACTGAGAAAATCTTTTCCGTTATTTTCAATCCTTGGATTCCTATTGAAAGGTAGACAAAAAACAACATTTGGAATAATACGGAGAGGTTGAATATGTGCATTCTTTACTTTAGAATGTCAAACAATGTATGGGATGCACTAGAAAAGTTGAAAGTAAACACAGAGCAACACAGTGGGAAGCACTAGAAAGTAGAAGGAAAATGCAGACAACTACTTTGAGAAAAAGGGAGTGCAAAGTTTATAGGCCATTTGGTAGGCAGGTATATTATATGAGCTATACAGTTATACCCATTGAAATCCCAATAGTGACAAACTTGTGGCTAAAAAACTAGAGGGTGGCATTTGACAGTCATCCTAGTGTAATCATAACTACTCAGTAAACACCAAACTTTACCTCTATTAGAACCCCAAGTAAAAACTTCTCCAGCCTCTGTTGCGACAACAGTGTGATGCTTGGCTGCAGCAACAGCCTTGACATGGCGTGCCCCTAAACCAGAAATTACTTGCCTTGGAGTAATAACAGCAGCTTGACCACTGCAAACACATTTAATGGGAATTATGAATTTGCAAAATGTTCAATATTCAAACAGAAAGATTTAGTGCTTCATCTTCCCATTCACTTGGATGAGTGGTCTTAGGAAACGAGAGACTGTTTTTGCAGTAAGGACGTGAAAATTGCTAAAAAGAACATAGACAATGCAGATAAAATAAGGATTTAATGCAGGAAAGTAATTGCCCCATAATAGTATAATACATACATGCACAAAAAGCAAAATGAAGTTGAGTGTGTTGATATTGTAGCAGGTGAAAAACTGAAAATGCGGATAAAAGTGTGTATATCAATACTTTAATATCGTGTAACACATTTGGCCATGCATCGTTGCAAGGGAATGACTTGTTCAAGGCTTCAAGAACTCACATATGGAAACATATGATACAAAAGAATTACAGATCTTAGTCTGTCAAACTCCATTATTCTCAAAGGCAAACTAGGAAAGTAATATTTAAAACTGTTGTGAATAAAATCAATCAAAAGAAGTTGATGAGAGTCTTTTTTTTTTTGAGGGAAACGATGAGTGTCTGATACAGATACATCATGTATATTCGTCTCACACAGTCATCAAATACCGTATACCTGTGTATATCGAACTCAGGGTGGCCAAGACGGCCACCCCTTCCAAATCCCCAAGTATAGACCTCTCCACGGGAAGTAACAGCAATGCTGTGAAACTTTGCTGCAGAAATGAGTTTAACAACAGAGCCGTGAAGGGAATCAACTTTGCAGGGTAACTTCTGAATGTGGGCATTTCCAGTTCCCAATTGATAATTCACTCCACTGCCCCAGCTAAACACTTCTGTAACCCCTGGACACACCCATGAAATCATATAATACAAATACATTAGATTTCCTTCACCTGCAAAACCAGTGAAGAATATATGCCACACAACTCTAAAGCCTGCCTGAACTGTCTTTCTCAATAGGTCCTGATAATAGATCAATAGGTGTTCTAGATTTTGAGTCTTCCACGGTTATAGATGCACCAGACTGGAGAAGGACACTAGCAGCTGCAAGATGGCCAAAATGCAGTGCTCGATGAAGGCTACTCCATCCTGATTCTCCATCCTAAGAAACAAAAAAAGATCTGACTTGAAATAAATAAATGAACTAATATTATTTTAGAGAAACCAAAAAACTAACATATTGATAATGAAATAGTATTCACCCAAATGTTATTTTCAACTGGACACAAGCTTTTAACCGTGGACTCAGATTCTACATGTTCATTAGAGAAGCATGTTGTAACGTACTTGTTCTCATGACAATGTGCTGCTGTCGTTAGATTTAATGGTACACCCACGATCATTAAGAATAAGCATGTGCTATCATTGCATGTAATGGTACACCCATTGTTTATTCAAGCTCCTCACTTTTTATTGAATCTGTGATTACAAGTGACAAGGTATGTCCTAATCTATGCTAGCAACTTTATAAATTTATACAATGAGCACCAAAACATTTGTTGTAATCACATAAACATAGAAATAAAGTATCCAAAAAGTAAAATATATCAAAACACAGAGAAATTATATATATACACATACGGGGGAAGCAGTCCAGCTCACTGGTCGCCGAATCACTTTCCCATATGGGAAGTCCTAGGTTCAAAACTCCATGGAATCAATTTCACCCCCCTTTACCCCGGGTCACCCCAGCCTTCTCGCCCCGACCCCCCTAGGGTAAAAAAAGAAATAAATATATATAGGGGAGGGTTTTAGTGAGAACACGTCTTAAAATAAGAACTTCTTATACTGATAACTTTTAATCGCAACCCTTCATTTTATTCAATCATTGGTAGGATGCACATGGGTCCCTTGTGTAATCATTCAAAATTGAAACAGGGTCTTTTTTGTAATTATGGTAAAATTATTGCAAAATTGACACCTTGTTGATTATACCCCTTGATATGATATATGAAATGTGGAGATTAAAGTTTCTCATTTATAAATGTCTAAATGAGTTCTCATTTTCAAAGGGGTTCAAATAAAAAGTGGTGTTCCCGTGCAAAGTGCGAACAGTTACACTTCGCTGAATGTGATGCACTATTTCATGTTTTTGATGCAATTTTTCACGGTGGCAAAAAGCTTTGGTTTATTTATGAAATTGCCACTGCGTTTTTTTTATCAAAAATAGTGCATTGATGGCTTATTTTGAGTCATTAGATCCTGAACTGAATGCACAGATTTATTATTAATTTGCATAGGAAGGTCTCTTTGTATTAATTTATACTCCCTCGGTCCCACAAAACTTGACCAAAATTGACTTGCACGTAGATTAATAAAGTAAAAACTGTGTGGTTGAAATTTGTGCAGAGGAGAGAGAAATAACTTTAGCCACATATTCCTTACTTTAAATGGAAATGAAAAAGTTTTTTGGGACGACTAGAAAAGGAAATTTGGCCAAGTTTTATGGGACGGAGGGAGTGTGTGTATATATATATATACATATATATATATATATATATATATAGAGAGAGAGAGAGAGAAATTATCTTGTCCAGCACTCCCTCGGCCGAACGCCGGCCGAACACCGCTGTTTGGGGCGGTTCCCGGTGGAATTTTTTGAGCATGTTCGTCATCAAGTCTAGTTTATCCACAAAATATTTCAACTCAAAATTCGATCGGGAAATCAGTCAAATCATTTTCGAAGTTGACTGCGCCAAAATATACATATAAATATGCAGTCGACTTCAAAAAATGATTTGACCGTCTTCCCGATCGAATTCTGAGTTGAAATTTTTTGTGGATAAACTAGACTTGATGAGGAACATGCTCTAAAAATTTCATCAAAAAAATCCACCGGGAACGGCCCCAAACGGCGGTGTTTAGACGGCGTTCGGACGGAGAAGTGCTGGACAGGATCATTTCTGTGTGTGTGTGTGTGTGTGTGTGTGTGTGAGTGTGTGTGTGTGTGTATGTATACATAATTATAGATGTGTGTGTGTCTATCAAAAGAAGTGGCCAAAAGAAAAATATATCATCATACCAAACACATATTGCAATCATTAGCACATTATCAGCAGTCAGCTAGTAAAAAAATGTCAACGAAAGAAACTTTTTACATAAGGGAGAACACAATATGAAACTAAGAAAAAGAAAGAGCCCCTCATCACTTACCCTGCCATTTGATGGATGATAAATCAGAGTAACATTGGAGCATCACCCTCAATGCCATAAACAAAATTAAAAAATTGAGAGGAATGAAAGAATCACACACCCTAACATTAGGGTCAGCACCAGCTGCAAGTAGTCTGTTAACTATTGGGATATGATTTCTCCACGTCGCTATGTGGAGAGGTGTAAGCCCAAAAGGATTTCTGGCATTGAGATTCCCCCCACTCTTCTTAAGAAATGTAAGACATGAATCTACATCATCAACACAACCTTCTCGTATAGCAATCCAGAGGTCTTTGGAAGAGCACCTTGATGAGCACCTCTGACCAGAGGTTGGTTGTTTTTGGAATGATGGTGAAACAATTTCCTCCATGAGTTAAGACAGTACACCCTTTGGGATTTCGCTAATCAGACCTCAAACCAACCACTATTATATACCCAAGTTAGAACTACAAGTTTCAGAAAAGTATGTTAACAGTAAAACTTTCTACTGCTGCAGATCAACTCGTTCAGCCACCAAGATGCTTTTGACCCTTGATGCAGTGCAGACAACAACTGTCAACTTTCAGAAGATTAACCTCTCTAACTTCCTGTCATGAATGTATGCTAGTTCATGAAGCCATTCTGTGAATTCATCACATAAAAAATGCAGGATCACCAATGATCTGTTGGAAAAAAAGTCATAGCAGTAAGAATATATTTTCTCAAACTTCCTCCTTTCATAAGCAAAAGGATTTTATGTAAACCATGCATCAAAAGCAAGGTCTCGATCTATTTACAAAAGAAAAAGATCGAAAACAGACTCTCTCCCAAGCTCCAACCAATCATCAAATCAAATATTTAAGGGAATTAGAATTTTTTTAAAAATCGTCAAGTCAAATATTCCCTTGAATTAAAAATGTACAAAGATCAATTTCAGGTTAGGGATAAAGGGAATCAATGAAAAAATTGGAAAGATAAAAAATGCTCCATTTGAAAACTCGGCAGGTCTTACCATATATATGAAGATGCTACATCAGAAGATTCAAGTAACATTGTGTTTGTTGCATGCAAGTGTGTTTCTATCATGTAAAGAGTATTACCATGAAACAAGTGCATTTCTTTAAAAAAATCCAATTTTTTGGTCCCACAACTATTGAGACATTCTCACTTTTGGTCTTCAACTTACATATTAGATATTACCACTTTTGGTCACATGACTATAGATCTTTTGTACTTATGGTCCAACTGACAACATATCAGGTCAATTTCCTTGCAATTTCCGGTAATTTTTTTCCCATATAAGAGGTCAGAAAGGACCAAGTGTCAAAGGAAATAGTAATCATTCACCAAAAGTGGAAGAAATGAAATATGGATATAAAATGAGGATAAGCTAGACTAGAAGTACTTTTCCTTGACTTGAAATAGAAGTGCATTAAAGAAGAAAGAAAAAACCTTCACCAAAATTAGTACACCATAGAAAATCAAAAGGATAGAATTACTCCATAGATTATTTTAACAAAAGCACTTGCTTTTAAAATAAAAATATGAAAAGCAATCTCTTCAGGGATGAAAATGAATACCCATGATTAGACTTCATAAGTAAACAATAAATATGCACACCTCAAAGCCATTTCTTCTAAACTAATATTACAATGAAGAAAAATACAATGCCAATTCAGTTGAGGCATCTCCATTGTCGGCATCTTAAAATGGTCAGTGCAAGAAATAAAATGGTAAATCTTCCTACGCCAGAATGTACAACACAGATTCAAAACATAGCAGAAGTGATTAAAAATAAACAAAACGAGATGAAACACGGACACCTCCTAACTAAAATGAAAACTTTACCACACCCAATGTAAAAAATGCTCATGATATAATAAATCCAGTTTCTGTTTGGCAAATAATAACCCCAGAAATGAGAAGCAAAGAACTTTGTAGAAATTGAAATCAAGCGAGTAAATATTGAGGATAATTCGAATGAATAAAAAGATGGGAAGAGGCAGAGAAACACGAACACCTTAGCTTTATGACGGAGAATTGCTTGAGAATCAATAAAAGAAGAAAGTTCTCAAATTCGCAGTGCTCGACTCTATCTACAGAAATACATGAATTTGATCATACATTATCTTCTCCTTCTGTATTCTATAAAATGCTATGATAACTGTAACGAGAGCGAAGCGGAGGTGCGGGGAATATACCCGAGAAGGAGCCACCCTTGCGGAACTGTGGACGGACTTGAGGGGCAAATCGGTGAATTCAGATGACGTCGTTCTGGTCGAAATTGCCCTTGGACCTCAATGTTTTGACGAGCGGGCGACCGCGCGCATGAAATGGGTGCGAAGTCAAGATAGCGGGAGCCGATTTGCCGAACATCCAGCCACGTTTTCCTGTGCTCTTTAGTTCTTTTTGTACGAATTTTCCAATATAATCAAAAGAGTAAAATGCATAAATCGTCCTTAAATTATCATTATCATGTCGTTTTATTCCTCGAACTATTAAATCCATCATTGTAGTCTTTTATTTATTTCATGTATATTAATTGAGTCCTTCCGTTAAATTTGTCGTTAACTTTGACAGAAGCTAATTACTCCCTCCGTCCCTTAAAACTTTGCCAAGTTTGACCGGCACGTGGATTAATAAAGTGAAAACACAAATTTGTGGTTGAGAGTTGTGCAAAGGAGAGAGAATTAACTGGAACCACAAATTCTTTACTTAAAAGGGAAAGTGGCAAAGTTAGTGGGACATCCAAAAAAGGAAAGTTGACAAAGTTAGTGGGACATCCAAAAAATGAAAGTTGACAAAGTTTTGAGGGACGGAGGAAGTAATTTATTTAACGTCTCATAATTTTAAACATTTTGGAGCAATATAATCATTCTTAAAATTTAAGTAGTTTTTGCTCATAATTCTTAAAAATATTCATGCTAATCTGCCAAATAAATAAGTCGTTGTTGCTCATCATTTTGGAATTATCACTCTTGGAGACTTGACTCTTGGTCCAAAAGGTGGAATCTCCCACCCTAGGAGCCTTCCACCCCGACCCGATAGGATGGTGCAGGAGTTAATCACGGTGACTCAGTCAGCAAAGCGGCGGTAGGCCTTATACACGTGTGCACCAGAGGTTCAGCCTTATTTCATGTTCTATAACCTCTACACGACCGCTGTGGATTTTGAACCTTGGTCACTTGGTCCAATTTTCCCACCACTCGACCAACTGAGCTACCCATGTGGGTAAGAAGACTTGACTCTTTAAAATACTTTGTATGTGCCAGATTTTTCAGTCCATTTGATTTCCATCCAAAACTTACAACAACATTGAATTGCATTGTTGTTTTCGGTGAATCCAAATGCTTGATTTTGCAAAATACTACTTTCAAGATGATTGGAGCAGCTAGGCAGATTGTTGGCTTATTTCAACTTTCCCTACATGATGTTTTTCCTGATTCTTGTAATAAAAATGATGCATGTAACTCAATGTTGGTTGAAAATAGTAGAATCGCAGATTCTAAAAATGTGTGGCATGAAAAGTTAGGACATCATCTAATAAAGGTCTTCAAACTCTGTCATTTCAATATGCTACAATAAAGTTCCCTCAAATTCATGATTGTGATGTATGTTCTTTTGCTAAACAAAAGAAACTTTCCTTTTCAAATAGCACACGCAAATCTCAATCATTCTTTGAACTCATTCATGTTGATATTTGGGGTCCTCTCTTAGTTTCTTCCATAGAAGGATATAAATACTTTCTGACTATAGTTGATGATTATAGTTGTTTCACTTGGATTCATCTTTTAAAATCCAAACATGAGGTCAGACAGTTGCTGCAATCTTTCATTACAATCACTGAAAATCAGTATAATTGTAAGTTGAAAAGATTGAGATCTAATAATGGTAAATAGTTTATTCTAACAGACTTCTTCAATAACAAAGGAATCCCACATGAAACTACTTATGTTGAAACTTCTCAACAAAATGGCATTGTTGAAAGAAAACATCAGCATCTTTTAAATGTTTGTAGAGCCCTTCTGTTTCAGTCCAAAATTCCACAAAGTTTTTTGTCTTATGCTCTCAAATATGTTGTTCATTTGATTAACAGACTTTCAACAATGTTCCTTAACCAACGATCTCCTTTTAGAATGATTCATCACGAAAAACCAGACTTGCATCATTTAAAGGTTTTTTGGTGTCTTGCATATGCCTCCACACTTGGATCTTCATCCTAGAGCTTCTAAATGCATGTTTCTTGGTTTCAAATCTAGAACCAAATGCTATGTTCTTTACAACTTACATTCTAGATAATTCATCACTCCCCGGAAATGTTATTTTTCATGAATCCATATATCCCTATATTGATTCTCACATAACACAATTTGACTTAGATATCACTTCTTTTGCCATTAATTACGATTTCATGTTTGGTGATATTCTTCCTATACATCCTAATACTAACACTGAAGTTGAAACTCCATTCAATAATCAAGAATCGAATCTTGTAGTAGAAGAAGTCACAAGTAATCATGCTCCGGTTAGAGTTTCTACAAGACAGAAATCTAAACCTAACTACTTGAATCAATATCACTTTTATAATCTTTCTTCCTCTAACTTTGAGTCTCATTCAAACACTCCTTATCCTTTGCACTCATACATGTCATATGACACATGCTCTTCTAACTACATTGTTTTTTTTCATTCCATTTCTTCTTCCATTGAGCCCTCCAACTTCAAAGAAGTAGTGACACAAGACTGTTGGAAACAAGTCATGATGTGAGCTTGATGCTTTAGATAGAAATAATATCCGGTCATTGGTTTCTCTTGAACTTAGCAAGAAAACAGTTGGATGCAAATGGGGTTTTACAGTCAAATACAAGCCTGATGGAAGCATTGATAGATATAAAGCCAGATTAGTAACAAAAGGATTCACTCAAACTGAAGCACTAGTGTAGAAAACACTTTCTATATGGGTTAAAAAGCACTTTTTATGTCGGTTCCCGTAACGACATAGTAGCCAGCGATATAGAAAGTCGGGGCACTTTTCGTGTCGGCTAGTCGTACCCCTTATAGAATGTTTTTTATAACGGTTAGGAATTTAACTGTTATAGAATGTTTTCCGTGTCAGTCCAATAATACCCCATATAAAATCCTTTTTATATGGGTTAAATCACCAACCGTAATAAAAAGTCAATTTTTTTTAAAAAAAAATAATCGAGTTTACTGTCATATATATATATATATATATATATATATTTATATATATATATATAAGTGATTTTGTATTTTAAAATGTAATGTTTTTATTAAAAAAAGCTTTTCATTTTAGCTTTATATATACAATAATATATATTACACCAAAGTACAAGTGAAACTCTCGAACTCAGCTTACAATCTTGCTGTTAAGCTTGTGAATTTACAAAGATTTACATTGTTTACAAAAGTTCAAAAAACAACATCAAAATCTATATATGCAAACAACTTTTTCTTTCAATTGCTGCCAAACTTTCTCGTTTCTAGCATACCAAATCCCCAGAGCAATCAGGAAAATGCAGCAGCTTTCATCCTTCTTGGAGCTAAAACACATGTCACTAGGGCTGCACAAGAATAACCCGAACCCGCATAACCCGCCCGACCAAACCCTACCCGACCCTATTTAATCGGGTATTTGATTTTTAAAAATATTCATGGGTTAAATATGATTGAACCCGCACCTAATGGGTAGGGTTGCGGAATTAAAATCTCCAACCCGATAGTACCCGACCCGGCCGAAGTTCATTTTACTATTATTATGCTACAATGTTTTCTTGGATAATTTCAATTTAAGACCAATGTGCTCTATCTATGACTTTATGATACTAAAATTATAATTAAACATTTACCATTTTGACTAGGTGATTATTATATATTTATGTTTCCTTCTAAATGATCTTCCTTTATGGAAGGATGTTTTAATACTATTATCTAATGTTTTTGCTTATAAAAGATATGAGTACTTGTGTTTGTTTGTGTGTTTTGAAAACAAACATACACGGTATATTAATATGCACCTAAAACCCTAAACCCTAAACCCTAAAACCCTAAACCATAAACCCTAAATCCTAAACCCTAAACAAACAAACAAGATATGAGTATGCACCTGAGTGAAAGACGTATATATTTGTTTCTATTAATAATTTGAACTTGAGTCCTGAAAAAGAATTGTGTATATTTATGATAGGAACCCAACGCAACTCGTACTTCAGCATGTCCATAATGTATTCAAAATTTAAGCCGATCTTCATAACACGGTTGATTTAAAACAAACAAACCAATTTAAAACAAGTTAATCGAGTTTTAAATAGGTTACATTAATCTCCCACATAAAGATGCAACCCGAAGTGATTTTTTTTTCAATACCCGACCCTACCCGACCCGTTCATGCATGGTTTACCAACTTATTTTGCGTACCGCGGGTTCAATAATAGCCAACCCGAACAAATCGGGTAGGCCCAAAAAATATAGCAAACCCGACCCAACCCGCCCGATGTGCAGCCCTACATGTCACCCAATGCAGAAAAGTGTCTCCTTCTGCAGCTGGAATACTCCAATGCAGGTCCTTCCAAACCTATCCTGCAAAATGACAAACAAAAAGTGTGCAGCTCACTTTCCTCCTCCTGCGAACACAGAGAGCAGATAATCGACCAGTCCACTCTCCGAACCCGAAGCTTAGCAGCTAGCGGCAAGCACCCCGAACAAGTCTTTTTTATAAAATGAATAATTTTCTTACAAAAAACACTAGCTACTAATAATAAAGATAATTTGAGAGAATATAAGGTTTTGATCACTACATACTACTAAATCTAAATACAACACTCCGTATAAGAATTTGGATTAAACAACAAATTCAAGTCATTTGTTGTCCAAAAGTTGCTTTCTCTTTCCCCCCAAAAGTATAACACCTTAAATAAAGCAGTTGTTCACAATCTTTAGATAATTAAATTATACTGTTGGAGAGATCTTTCATTATCTAAAAGTCAAAGAAATAAACATTCAGGGGTGCAAGTAGTTGGACACATACAAATTTGATAAAATACATGTATCGTTGAACACTTGAACGGTTAGATATGGAGGAATTCAACTAATCAAAGAGAGCTATGAACTAGAGTTATCTTTTGATAGATATAGGAATAAGTTTATAAAATATT